CACAAAGGAGGCACCGAGGCCTCATCAGCTGATTGCTTTGTACGCTCCCGGGTCTGGCTTGCTCCCCCCAGGCCCCCTTCGGGGTCTCAGCTGTTAATTACATTTGCCTGTCAGCCTCGCCTGCTAATCTGCTATCACCGAGCGGAAAGCGGGAGGTCAAACAACAAAGGTGACACCGTCACACTGCGCCTCTTGTCATCTCCAATCCAGATTAGTCTCATTGACTAACTCCTGGCTGAATACCACCAGTTAATTATAACGATCACAAACCCTCCCGTTTAAAGCCACACAGCGAGAATTAAGGTTCTGAAGTAAGACTTTAGCTTCATTAATTGCCCGGCTCATTGTGATGGTATTGATTGTTAACGCTATCGCGTGGTGAGTAATGGCTTCCCAGCTCAGAGGGGATTAGGCTGCTAATTGTTGTTGGCCTTGCGCTGACAAGATAGACTTCAGTGGGTGTCAAATCCGTATCGGCTGCTTCCTTTGTGGTGGGCAGCCTTTCTCTCCCCGACTCTCGCCGCTCTTGAAAATGAAAGCAATTCGAAGCGACTCAGGAATAATTAATAAGGCAGATTCACGCGCAGCGCCGCTCCCCGCATGGGCTTGGTGGGATTGCTTCTCTGCTCACCCTTCCCGTCTCACTCCTTCCCCCGGCTGACCAGGCCAAGTCTGCTGGACACCGCATTGGGTGAACCATTGCCTCTCTGCTCCTCTTGTGGGACTCGCACTCGCATCCCCGTCACACTCTCCGTCTCGGAGGAGCTTGCTTCAGCTAGCGCGCCTGGCCAAAAGCATCCCACCATTGGGTTAGGGTGTAGGCTGAAGGTCTGGCACCCAGTGAAAGCCAAGGGGGATTTCATTCCTCATTACCTGATGGCAGCATCACTACGTAGTAGTTCTTGAGATCCTGAGCCCTTTGCACGAGGTTTCCCCCTCCAAGGAGAGCTTTCCATAGGCCTATGAGCAAGGTGAGTGCAGTAGGGTTTGCACAGCAGCGATGGACAACTCGTGTTGGAGCTCAGCTCTCGTTGGGATCGTGGGACCCTCTCATCTCCTAATGCTGGGACCAGACTCGGTGGTCTGGAAGGTCCTTCCCATCTGAGCTGGGGCTTTCTTTGCCCTCCTGAGAGTGCACTACGCCTCCAGGCCCCTTTTCTGTATCGGGGGGCGTGAAATAACACAGGGCTGGCACCAGTCCCACGCCCAGAGCTCAGGAGCTGCTTGTGGACCAGGGAGCGGGACCGACGCAGGAGAGCAGGAATGATGTTCACCTCTTCCTTGCTGGCTCGAGCGCAGCCCAGGAGAGCAGCGACGGGACGGTCCCCAGTAGGCCGGGAGCGCTCTGGCTATCGGAGTGAGGACTGATCGGCACGCTTGGACCAAATGCTCTGTAGGCATCAAAGACGCCCACCGGGCAGGTTTGCATCTTTCCACCACCAGAAAACTCGGCCCCTCGTTGGCTGCCTCTGCAAAGGCCGGAGGGGCTCGAGGGCTGAATGAACCCTTTTGCATCCAGAATCAGTCCTGGTAGGCTGGTACCAGCCCTGGCAGGGCATCATGGCCTGTCTTGCTGCCACCCAGGTGGTCTCGGCTTTCTCGAGCCACACCGTGCCTTTCATGAGCACAGAATCTCAGCCCTTCTCAAAGCGGTTTTATGCGCTGGGACCTCGCGGTGAGGTGCCGGATGAGGGCTGCGTGCCCTAGCTAGCATCCCGTTTGTATGGCTGCTCCAGCCTTTCTCCGCTCTGCGCGCGGCGCTCGCTACTTTAATTCCATTTCAGAGCTTTTATTTTTCCCTTGCAAATATCACCCACGTCCCCGGGGCGGGTGTAATTTAAAATACAGATGTATTATGCAAATAATGCCAGAGCCGGGCCCCAGGGTTGCAGAGAGCGCCGCCGCGTTCCCCCCTCGTGTCTCGGAGCGCTGCGGCTCGCTCGGGGGGACGTTTGCGGCCACGGCTTCAAAAGGCGGCCGATTCCTCTTGAAAGAAAGCGGTCACCGTCACAGGGCGTCGGGCCCCTGGGCAGCACGTGGCGATCAGCCTCATTCTTGGCTCGCGGCACCACGCACGTTGGGTTGGAAGAGCTGGGGGGAGGTATCCTGGAGCTGAGCCTCTCTCCAGCTCTTCTTTCTCCTTCCTGCATGGTTGCTGCTCGAGTCTTATTTAGCGACCCTTGACTGTTTCCCTGAAGAAATTTGCTGGGAGTATTTGGCTGAACGGATGACTTACACAACCCCTATTAGACCGGAGAAGGGGTCACCTGAGTATAATAGCATCACCAGCTGAGCTGCCCTGCCCCGGAGAAGTGCTGCAGCATGGAGGCAGGCAGCTTCTCACCCTGTTATTCTTCGAGTGCTCCTGATGTCCCTGGCACGGACAAACCCGGTGCCTCGGAGAAGGAAGTATTGCTTTATATGGCCGGTTACCAGCCGCAGGGGGCGGCGGGATCAAAGTGTAGAGCGGGGTTTGGAAAGTAGCTGGGACTTTTTCCAAGCAGAGATAAGGCTGTTGTTCCACATGTTTATATAAAGGAAATCTAATCTCTGTGCAGCACACCGTGGGGCGATCTCGCCAGGGGTCAGGAAGGAGCCTGTTTCCTTATTTATCTAGTGCGGCCCAGCTAGCCAGGCAGTTTGCTCTCTCCCACCGAAGTATCTGGCTGTGGTTTGCGGTCGTGCTGGGACTTGGGGTGTGGACTGGAGAGACAGGTCTGAAATGACTGTAGTACAACCTCTAGGTTTGTAAGTCACTCCGGCTTCACGGTCACTCGCGGTCAGCTGGGCAGAGGCCCAAAAATATGCCTCTCCTTGCTGATCCTGGAACCGAGGACTCCCCATCTCACCACAGCTGCCTTGAGGAACCGCAAGAGAAACCTTGAGGATACCCCGTCCCACCGCAGCTGGCTTGAAACACCATAGGAAAGACCTTGAATCGCTGGCAGAGGTGACATCTGCGTCCCTGATGTGCACTTCCAGCTACCAGAGGGCCGTCACGTGAACCGGGCTCTGAACGGGTCTGAATAGTGGGTCTGGGGGAGATCTCCAAGATGGCTTTAGACCCACTACTAGTCGCAGAGTCCCAGCAGCGTCCTAGCAGCATCTGTGCATGTTGGAGGTACGGGGGGATGTTCATATCGCACAGGTCTGCAGAAGCCTGTCGGCATCAAGAGCAAAGGCCTTCATGCCAGGAGCTGCTTCTGTCCTGGGCACAGGTGCCCTGGCTGGAGAACTCGATGGCAGACACAGCTGTGCCATGCAGAGGCTCCTGAAAGCCCCCCCCAGGTGCAGATGTCCTTGAAAATCACTCCCCTGTGCCAGGGTTTAGGGAGAGAAAAGCTAGGCCCATTTATTCCAGGAAATACAGCCCTGCCCCAGCAAAAGGCTTGCTTTAAAAACCACCCGCATCCACTGTGGTTTAATTTTTTCCCCCCTGACACCCAAGACACAGCACAAAGGGCCCCTGAGTGCTGCTGGAAGCTGGACCCACTTTCCCAGGGACAGGGCAGGCCTCGCTGGTACCCGCGGCAGGGCCGTGCCGCCTGTCTGTGCCGCGGAGCCGGGGCAGCCAAGCCGGGCTCCGGGGAGCAGCCCCAGAGGGGGCTGGCGCCACGGGGGCGGCGGAGCGCTTCCCAGGGAAGCAGAGATGAGCGGATCCATTCCAGGCCATTTACACAGCGTGCGGCAGAGCCTTTTACCGCTGAGCGAGCACTCCCTAATGAGAGCCAAATGGTTTCCCAGCAGACACCGTCCCTTGCAACGCGCCGACGATGCCGCGCGCTGAACAAAGGGATATTGAATTATAAATAAACAGCTAATGGCTTTTGATGCCTCCGAACCCTTTCAGCCGCTGCGCGGCTCCTCCGTGTGCTGTAGTCCCACTCCCGCCGGGGGGGTGGAGAGCCGGGCAGGTTGAATCCTCTCCTTATGACAGCGTGTCGCCTGGGCAGGAGCAACAAGCACTTGATTAACCATCCCTCACCTCCAGGAGCCGTCTGGGTGCCCGGCTTTATTGACCAGCCGGGCCTGGGGACAAATGGACGGAGGGGCCATGGTGCCTGCTGCCTCCGAGAGCCACGTGAAAGGGGTCTGTAACTGTGGCCAGGCACAGTGGTTCTGGTTCATAAACAAGTACGGCTTCTGCCGGCTCGTCCTGGTTGGCCATGTGTCCCGCCGCCAGAAGGCTTGCACCTTGGGGACCATTGCACCCACATTGTTTCACTCCTCTTTGGGTGGAAAAGCCCCTTTTCTCCCATTCGGCCTTGGTGCAAAAGCACAGCCAGCAAAGGGCCCCCTGATTGCACCCTCTGTGTGTCTGCACAGGGAGTTATCGTGGTATCACTGCAAAGATGGATTGATCCCCAGGAGGACGAGCCCTGAGCTTGCTCTTGTCTGCGTCATGTCCCTGCCCTCTGAGCAGCAAGGGTGGGGTGGACCCCTTGGGATGTGCTTGGCGCTGAGCGTCTCGCCCCAGGGTTGCCAGCCCGGAGGAGTTCACAGTGCCACTGTAGTCTCTGAGGGTCTGAGTGCTATCCCCAGCTCTGCTCCTTTTACATGAGACAGTCCCCTTTTTGGCCTGTCCCCCAACCCAACCCTCATGTCTTCTCCGGGAGGGCTCCGGTGATGGCCCCCGACTCTGGACTCAAGCCCAGTGAGGCTGAGAACAGATGCCAGCCCTTCAAGGGTGTTTCTTAGTGGCTTCGGTGCTTGGCATCCTCAATAGCTGGAGAACCTCAGCACCGTAATGGATCAGGCCCTGGGCATACACTCCTGGGCACTCCCATTTCAAAGGCACTCATAGGTGATGGCTCTGGATGGAGGAGGGTTGCCCAAATGGATGCCATCTACTCTCCCAGCACCTAGTTGCTGGCCTGGCTGATGGAGCCTGGCTCAGGACCAGCAGGTAACCTTCCCTTGAGTGTCCCAGCATGGCAGGTACTTATAGGCTGGTTTTGAGGTTCCCCTGCTTACCCCCTCTTCTCTTGCTCTCTTCAAAGGGTCTTCGATAAGCAGCGAGTCTTCGCCCGTCTCCTCGCCAGCCACCAACCACAGCTCCCCGGCCAGCACGCCCAAGCGAGGACCCATGGGCCCCATCATCGTGCCGCCGGGCGGGCACAGCGTGCCGAGCACGCCCCCCGTGGTGACCATCGCGCCGACGAAGACTGTGAACGGGGTGTGGCGGAGCGAAGGCCGACAGGTACCGAGCCCTGGGGGCAGGGACACCACGTGCCCCTGACAAGGGATGGGGGCTCTCCCACCTCGAAGACTCAACCAGGCCCCATCTCTTGGGGGTTAGCGGAGGGCACTCTCCCAATGTGGGGGTTCCTCTGAAGAAGCTGGTATTGCCCCCTGGCAGAAACGGTCCCGGGGCCAGCGGTGTCTTCTGCAAAGCCCCTGGACTGTGCCACCTCTGCACAGGGTGTGGGGTGCATATCCAGTATGCAGTGGGTGTGGGAGCCCTGCGTGGGTCTGATACTGCGGGCAGGGAGACGGGTAGAGAGTCGGCGCCCTCCCATGCCAGCATGATAAAGAGTAGCGGGACAAGCATGGCCTGGGGTTTCTAATCTGCGGGTGCCCGGCCACGCACGTACAGGCGGAGGAGCACAGCGGGCGCCAAGGCGGCCTGCAGGAGCCACGGCCGCCCTGCCTGGCTGTCTTTGTCCTCCGGCTTCCCCTGCTGTCTCTCCTCCTCCCCTTACACATGCCCACGCCGCAATCTGGGTTGGAAGCACTTGCTAATTAAGAAGCATTGTTAGCGGCTCTCCTCTCCTGTACCTTACGCCGGATTCCCGGAGGGATTACAGCACTTGGAAATACTAATTAAACCACAAAGAAGAGAGGGGAAGGGAGGGGAAGCCAAGACAAACCCTTGGTGCTGGGAGCCAGGCAGGCGGTAATCCCAGCTGAGCGCCCCCCACCCCAGCAGAAGCCTTGGCGGGGGTCAGGCAGGGAACGGGGGCTCCCAGCTCCGGCCTTCCTCTGCAAGGCTGCTGCCTTCGTGGCCTCCCTCCCCGTGGCGGCCTCACGAGCGGCACTTCCAGAATGTGGGTTAACGAAGCAGGGTTTATTGTCTAGCGTGGCCTGCGTCTCCGAGCGGCGCCCAGAGACCGCAACGTAATTAGGACACAGCTTCCCCCATGCAGTCAACTCTCTTGCATCGGAGGGTGCAGGCAGGGGACCCGGCTCGCCACCCCAGGGCCCCCTGGCACAGGCTGGGGAGCTGGGAAATCTGGAGGGGAGCGCGCCTCTGTGCCCAGGGTAGAGCCCTGCCCCTCTGGGGAGGCTCCAGCTGGGCTTTATGTGGGGGAAAGGCCCTTGCAAGGCAGCTGGCAGGATCCGGCCCCCACCCCGGGGCAGCTGGGGCTCAGGAGCCCACGTGCGAAGCCTGGGAGGGAGACAAGAGTGCCGGGTCCATGCTAAGTGCTTTCCAGGGCTCTCCGTCCTTCTTTCCACCTGCTCCCTTCACTCAAGCTGAAGGGCATCAGCTCCCTGGCCTGCTTTCGCCCATCTGGAAGGGATGGGAACACCACTCTCGAGAGTGCCCTGCTGTCTGGGGGGTCTCTTGCACCCTAGGCTGGGCCTCCGTTCCCTCCTGGGGCTATCCAGCACATCTGCCCCCACGGCCCCCAGCATTGCACCCGCCAGCCGGTTAGCACCCCGCAAGACCCAGCCGTGACAGATCTGTGCCGCTAATGAAGCCACCGCGCTGGCGGAGAGGGCGCGGAGGGAGCCGGGGCCGGATTAGCCGATGATCTACGGCCTCTCCGTCCTGGCACAAAGGCTCAATTGAGGGGTTTAATCCTCTCGGCGGTGGGGGTTGAGGAGCAGAGAGAAATGCCGGCGCGAGGCGAGGCGGGTGAGTCACCGGGGCGGGCGGGCTGGGGGCCGATCTGTCAGCGCCCGCCGTGCCGGGGTTACCGATCTTCCCGAGGTAATGGGGAGCCTGTGAAAGGACAGATTAAATGAAGAATAGTCTATTTTAAACTTAATAGGGCATGTCCTGCATTCTGACTGGCGGAGATCACTCGCTAATCGCCAGGGAATGACGGATTTTTTTCCTCCCCTCCCTCCCTCCCTCTCTCCTTCTCTTCTCCCCTTTCATCATCGCAGCTGCGCTTGCAGCCGCCGCTCGGGGAAAGCAAATCAAATGCAGGCTGCCCAGCGCCGCCCTCCACAGCGCCGGGTTCCCGGAGGCCGCTGCGGGGGCAGGCGGCTGCCCTGGGTGGCCACACGTGCTGGGAGGGTCCAGACCCTGCGGGGTGAGGACATCTCCTCGGGTGGGACCCATGTGCCCCCGGGACAGGCACCTCTCTCGGGAGGAGGCCGGTCAGCCGGGTGCTCGGTCCAGCCCCGCAGCTCTCGGTCGCTTCTGCGCCAGGATCAAACCAGAGCCCGGCAGCGTGGGAAAGGCAGGGCTTGCCCAGCCTGCTGGCAGCTTGCTTGGAGGTCACGTCCCCAACATCGAGGACCGTGACGACCTGTGCGTCTCCCCCAGCACTTGGCGGCTCCATCCTCTGGAAGGGTCTCACCGGGGCAGACCAGTCGCCCCTCCACCGAGACCACCGGCTGGGCCCCCCACTGTCCCATTGAGGCCTGCTGCTGCCCCCCATCCCCTCCCTGCTCTGCTTTGCTTTGAGGAGGGGCAGGGGGAGCCTTCCTCCCATTAAACTGGCTGAGCCAGGGGCGCTGGGGCTGATGCCGGCCTGTCCCAGGCGACGCCTGACTGCCCTGTTTGTTTTATGGCCGTTATCAAAGGCCTGCTGGATTTATCCTGGCTGCGCTGTTTCAAGCTCCATAGGCGTCTGTATCCTCCCTGGATGATTAATGGCGCCCGAGAACAAAGCTGCCTGTAAATCTCCAGGCAGGTAGGACGTGGGCTTGCTGTCAGCTGCCCCCCTTCTCGCTCGCTCCTGCCTGATCTCAGCTCCGGCTGGGTGGAAAGGGACACACGCACTTCCCTGCCTGTATAGACCTGGCCCCCTAAAAGCTGGAAAGGGGTCAGTGGGTTTATCTGTGCCAGGACAGCTATACGGACCTGGCCCCCTAAACAGCTGTGAGGGGGTCAGTGTGTTTATACTGCATCTATATGGACCTGGCCCCATAAGCAGCTAGGAGGGGGTCAGTGGGTTTATACTGCATCTATACGGACCTGGCCCCCTAAGCAGCTGCGAGGGGGTCAGTGGGTTTATAGTGCATCTATACGGACCTGGCCCCATAAGCAGCTAGGAGGGGGTCAGTGGGTTTATACTGCATCTATACGGACCTGGCCCCCTAAGCAGCTGCGAGGGGGTCAGTGGGTTTATAGTGCATCTATACGGACCTGGCCCCATAAGCAGCTAGGAGGGGGTCAGTGGGTTTATACTGCATCTATACGGACCTGGCCCCCTAAGCAGCTGCGAGGGGGTCAGTGGGTTTATAGTGCATCTATACGGACCTGGCCCCATAAGCAGCTAGGAGGGGGTCAGTGGGTTTACATTGTAGCTATATGGACTTGGACCCCTAAGCGGCTGGGAGGGGGTCAGTGGGTTTATACCACCACTGCCCAAGGACAGAGCCTCCCACATGGGAAAGGCAGGGGTCTCCATTCACCCATCCCGTCCTCTCCGGCCCGGGGGTGCCCTCATTCTGCTCCTGGCTGCCTGCCCTGACCTCCTTGCATCCTCTCCGGTCGCAGGAGCAGGTCGGAGGGGGCCTGCGAGGCGCAGGGGGTGCCCGCGAGCCGCAGGAAGCGAACAGATGTTCCCGCTCATTAAAAATTCCAATCAACGGGCCCCATCTCTTCCAATTAATTATGGGCGACGTGTCTTGTGAAGAGACGATGAAGTCTCGAGGAGCGATCAGCTGCTCGCCCAGGGTTTGCTGCGGTCGTGTTTAGTAAATACACTTGACTGATGAAGGCAGGTCCCCCAGCGGCGCGGCTCTGCCAGGCACCAAGCTCCTTCGCTCTTCCCCGCCGCGCGTTCCAAGATGTCACTCTCCGGTGAGAGGAAGATGGATGGGCTGCCGTCCTTCCAGAGGGCAGGCGGTGCAAACCCGCACGCCTTGCAAGCGCAGCTCCACGCCGGAGCGTCCCTGGCTCCTATGCTGGAAGAGGAGAGGCTTCGAGGGCAGGGAGAGTGCAATTGGCCCTGGGGGCTGAGTCTGTGCCCGCGGGGTGGTGCATGGAGATGGGCAGAGAGGTGTCCACAGCATGCCAGGGCACCCAGCAGCCTTCAGGGCCTCTGGGACAGCGTGGCAAGGAGAGGGTTTCTGACCCAGGACAGCATCGTGCCCAGGCAGGGAGGGGGACAGGAGCGGGGTATTGGCAAGCAGCGCTCGCATTGGTGGCAACCTCTCTTGACATCCCCGAGCTGCTTTCCTGCCTGAGCGCACCTCCGCGCCCACGCACCACAGCCATTAGGAGGGCCTGACCCTTTTAGAGGGGTCGGGGAGCATGCGTGGTTGCCCTCCAGGCGCAGCGTGCATCAGCCAGGCTCCCTGCCTGGGCAGGTGCTGCAGGAAACCCCAGCGGCACTACAGGTGGTAGGACACGCTCCTGGCAGGTGCTGTGGTCACGAACAGGAGCAAGCCGTCACCCCGGGCTCCGGCCAGAAAGGCCCTTGGTGGGTGTCGGAGTCCATACGGGCTCCGGTTGCATGGCCGGGAAGGGAACATAGCTGGGGTTAGTCCCCAAAAGGTTCAGGGAGCCGTGGCTGCAGCCTAGGTGGGGCGGTCAGGAGGCTGGGGTGCAGTCCTGCTCCCGTGCCCTAGTTGCGCTTGCAGACTCTTTGGACGTGGGGCATCTCAGTGCCTTCTGTTGCCCCAGGCATGCCCGGGGACTCCCTGTGAGCGCAGCTGAGCCCCTGCAGCCCCCGGTCCTTCTTCTCGGAGGATTTCGGTGGCAGCAGGGCTTCCTGTCTCTGCGGCTGCCACATTCCCCAGCAACAGACGTGGGCGCCCAGCCATCGTGGCCATGGGCGGCTTCCAAGTGCGTTGGAAGTGCTCTCCCTCTGGGCGCTTCCCCCCTCTTCCTCCTGTTCTCCTTCCTCCCCCCTGTTTCCTTTCCTCCGCTCTTCTGCGCTGGCTCAGCTGTTCCTAGCGCTTATTCTAGCCAGGGCGGGGTGAGCTGACCAGGGCATCAGGTCTGGCAGGGGCAGTCCAACCCCTTTCTCGTGCCACAGAGCAGCTAAACGTTCCCCGCCCAGCGAGTGCCGCAGTGCTGAGGTCAGCCAGGTCCCCCGGCAAAGGCAAATTGCGTGCCCACCTGCTCCAGTCCCTGGCACCGGTCTCTGGCCCTCTTGGGTTTCCTGCAAGGACTGTGCAGAATATGCAGCTCCTGCCTGTGCCAGGGAGGGGGAAGCACCCGCCCAGATGCCTCCTCTCCTTATTCTAATGCGTGCGTCAGCGTGGCCAGAATAGCTGTGACGGCAAAGGCGTGCAGCTGTCTCCGCAGCTGATGCCATCGCCGCTTTGGGGACTGACTGGTTGCAGACCCGCCTGCCCTGCCCCTGCCGCTGTGCCAGCTTCCTGGTGCCCTCGGCCTCTCGTTCTGTGTGTGGTGGGGTTGCCAAGAGATCTGGGATGGCGAGCGAGCATCTGCCACCCCAGATGATGCTAGCTTGACTCCAGGAATGAGCGGCTGGTGTGTGCATGTGCGTGTGTGTACACACGTGAGATGGCTACTGCAGGGCCCCCTGTGGATCTCTCCCCCCCCCTCGAGCATGAGCACATTGTCTTTGTGGCCTGCCCAGGCCGTGTGTCGGGGGCCCGGACCTGCACTCGCGGTTCAGGGCTGCCTGCAGCAGGTGTGGCATGGTGCATGCTTGGGGGAAAATCCCGCTGCCGTGCCCTGGGGCCCTGCTGCCTCCGTGCATCCTCTGTGTCAGTGGGATGGCTGGTTTGGCCTGACCTCACTGGCAGCAGGTTCGCATATGTAGACACGCCTGTGTCCTTCGGGCTTTCTCGACACCTCTGCTTTCTCTCTGCAGCAAGAAGCAGGGTCCCGAGGCGGCGGGAGCAGCAGCAGCAGCCGGGAGCGCCTGATGGCCGAGCCGCCCCTGCCGCAGGAGAAGGCCGGGGGCCCTGCTGTCCCTTCCCACCTCCTGGGCGCACCTTACTCCTTCGGGATCCCGCCGACCTCCGTCGTCCAGGACTCCCGCTTCCCGCCTCTGAAGTGAGTGTGCAGCCCAGGAGACTCCAGCCCGGCTTTGGCACAGCTCGGCTCCGTGTCCCTCAGCCAGCCTGTCTGCTGGGGGTGCTTGGGGGAAGCGGGGGTTTCCCATCAGGGTTCGCCTTGCTCTGGAAATATTGCAGGTGGCCGTAGCTGAGGGGTCCAGGGAGTTGTGCGCCCACCCCCCGGGGTGCTTGGGGGTCTGTCTTTTCTCTGGGCTGCTGGCTCAGCCCCTTTGCCTGCCTCTGTGTCTGTGGGATGTACCCCCTGGCTTTGAGCTCAGCTGGTTGCTGCATGCCACTTCCAGCTGTTGTAACCCTGGTGATCCAAGCCCAAGGGCTTTTGGAGCCCCGAACCCACCACGCCAGGCCCAGGAGATACCTTCAAACCAAGGTAGCATGGGGCTGGGAGCAGCTCCCAAGCTGGGACCAAGCGCCGCAGCTCGAGGCCAGCACTGCATGCACTTAAAATGAGACCTGCCTTGGAAATCTTCCTGCCGAGCCCTGAGCGCCGGGGGTGTCCCCAGCATTTCCCCCAGCCAGATCTGAGAACGGGTGCTGTTCATCAAAGGCCTCCGTGGCTGCCTTTGCATCAGGGGACTAATCCTTGGTGGATGTGGTGGGCGGTGGTGCCCAGAATGACCCTTGCTGTAGATGCTGAAGCCCGGGGCTGCGCCAGCCTGCGTTGCGCTGGCTGAAACCCAAGGCAGCATCCTTGGAAGTGGCCATGCACCGTGAGGTGCGGTGCCCTGGCTGCAGGGAGTCTGAGGGGCAGTTTTCGGAGAAAGTCACCGTGCATCTCTCTCAATCCCACCCTCCAGCCTGCAGCGGCCTGTTCACCACGTGGTGCCTCCCAGCGCGGTCACAGAAGATTACCTGCGCAGCTTCCGGCCCTACCACACGCCCGAAGACCTGCGCATGTCCTCC